ACAAACATTTGAACCCATGACTACAAAGCAAGCAACCTTAACCACTGAGCCATCTCTCCACCGCCTAGAAACAGTAGTTTGGTTTGGTTTGGTTTTCTGAGACAGAGTTTCTCTGTGTAGCCCTGGCTGTCCTCAAACTCAATTTGTAGACCAGTCTGGACTCAAACACAGAAATCTGTCTGCCTCTGTCTCCCAAATGCTGGGATTAAAAGTGTGCGCCATCACTGCATGGCTAGGATATTTAATTTTAAAATTAATTTAAATGTAAATTTTGAAATTGCTGCTCAAGTTGCTGACTTGACTTTCTTTTTAAAAATTGTTTAAAGGGCTTTTCACTTGAGAATAGGACAAAATTTCTAACCATTTCTGAGATGGCTCTAAAGATGCTTCTGTCATTTTTCACATCACATATTTATGCAAAGCAGTATTCTCAGCATTGGCTATTGTAAAATTAAAATATGGCTCCACTCTGAAAAACATTGAAAATAGTCTATGTCCTGCAGTTTCGAAAATTCAGCCAAGATTTAAGTCCATTTCTATTTGTTTGTTTGTTTTTTTCAAGACAGGGTTTCTCTGTAGCTTTGGAGCCTGTCCTGGACTAGCTCTGTAGACCAGGCTGGCCTCCAACTCACAGAGATCCACCTGCCTCTGCCTCCTGAATGCTGGGATTACAGGTGTGCACCACCACTGCCCTGCTTTAAGTCAATTTCTAAATAATGATTATTTATTCTGTGCATGGGTCCATGCCATGATGCATATCCACTATGTGGGTTCTGAGGATCAAACTCAGGTTATAATATTTGGCAGTAAGTACCTTAACCCATGCAGCCATCTTGATAGCCCAAGATTTCTTTTTTTGTTTTGTTTTTTTTTCAAGACAGGGTTTCTCTGTGTAGCTTTGTGCCTTTCCTGGAAATCGCTTTGGAGACCAGGCTGGCCTCGAACTCACAGAGATCTACCTGCCTCTGCCTCCCGAGTGCTGGGATTAAAGGCGTGTGCCACCACCGCCCGGCAAGATTTCTTCATGTAAACATTCGTTTCATTGGTATGTACATTTGAACATACACACTCATTTCATTGGTATGCACATTTGGAAATGTCCTTGGTAAAATGTTAAAATTATATGTTTATGAAAAATGTTAAAACTTTGTTCAGTTGGAACTTCCAGCTTGCCCCTGCGTGATCCAGAAAGCCTCATTCCTGTCTGTCTCTCTCTCCAAACCCCACATTCTCAGAAAACCTCCAACAAAGGGAAGGCATCAAAAAGCCCAGTTCTGCATCCTTGGTGGCTGGGGCAGCTCCTCCCCTGAAGTTGCCAGCTGCCCAGATCCCCACCAAAAGTGTTCACTTTTTGACCATACTGGGGCACAAACCCAGCTTGTAGTGGCAAAGTCCTCACCTCCTGGCCTACTACCTGCTTAATCTCTCTGCTTTAGTTCAGGTGTGTGACTTCTCCTGCCTCAATATCTGGGACTGGAGAACTCACCCGGGAGTTGCTTTGCTCAAATAAACCTGTTCTTTACTTTTTCAGTTCGGCTTGATCTGGCTTACTGTGTCAGTAGAGAAACCTGTTATCAGGCTACAGAAAACTTATTACTCTTTATGATTTATTATCAGTAATGTTTTGAATACCTACATTATACGCCTATATAAAATTTCTCAGATGAAAGAGATCATGAGCAGAAAAAGTTGAAGCAGCCCTGTTCTAGAGCTGACTGGATATAGGAGAAAACAAATTGGCACCAAGGAGAGTGTCATTAACATCAACAGGGGGTCTTGATGAGGACTGATTCTGCAAAATGACAGTGGATTTCTTGTCTTGAGGTATGTGGGGGTGCTTGGTAAAGATGACCAGTGAAAGGATCAAGCAGACACCATAACAGGCTGCTCAGTCTTCTCTCAGAGATCAGGCCTCAATTTCAGTTTTCTGAGACTTGAGCAAGCAGTTTCTGGGAGGGCCATGAACAAAAGACATAATCCTTGCAGTAGCTCCCTTTCTGCATGTACTCTGACCGCTCAAGGTTCAGCCAATTGTTTACTGTCTGGGACTCCTCTGTCAAAGACAGAGGCTGGGCCACTGAGCCAGCCCCCACAGTCAGTACATGCAAGGCCAGCCAGCCTCCATGGCAGCTCAAGGACAAAGCCTGGGACTTGTCCAGGCCTACCCAAATATGGGTAACCATAACCCCCAACTAACTCTGCTCAATTAAAAATTACTAACATGATTGACACTTGCATAAACCAATCCTGAGTCTGTTCCTATGTAATCTGTACACCCCAAGCCCCCCTTGCTTTAAAAACCCCGCCCCATTGCTACTCTGGGTCTCTCCTGCTCTGCTGCTGCATCAGACAGACGGAGAGGCCCGAGTTAACTTGTAACAATACAAAGACTCGGCTTTTGCATCAGATTCGGTCTCTTGGTGGTCTTTGGGGGACTCTGGGTACAACAACTAGCTGTCAACCCAGGAAAGGAATACCAAGACTCCAGAGACCACCTTAGAGTCATCTAGATGGAGGTGACAACCGGATCTCAAAAGCACTGAATACACAAAAAGAGAAGATAAAAACCTGCACCTAGGAGGTAAGAATTAAAAGGCCAGCTGGGAAAATACTCAGGACCAAAAGAGTGATTTAAGCTAAAAGGGAAAAATCAGTAGCTATCTTGAGAGACACTTCCCCCTCCCCTCCTCCAAAGGTATTTGCCGACAAGCAGTTTTAGAAGTAATCAGAAATTGAACTTATAAGGCTGGCATAATAAATCTATGTATCCTGCCTGGACTTGGCAAAACAAGATATGGAGATTAATGGGCTCAACTGACCAGAAGTTGACCTTAGAGGAGTGTAGGACTACAACAATAAATCTGAATGTGTCAACAAAAGCAGGACATAGGGAATAAAAATTTATGTCTCTATAGATACCCTGAATCCTGTTAGCAATTAGTAACCTTATGCTTACATCACCCCTAGCCCCCTCATCCAATCCCAATATGCATGTAAACTTTTCCTATATAAACCCCTTAATGTGAGTGCTCCAGGCCATTCTCCTCTACCTCTTGTGTCAGATGTTAGACGGGGGACCAAGCTTGTTTGTTTTGTTAATAAAAAACCTCTGGTGGTCTTACTTGGGGGTCCTGGGACCTGGGCACAACAGAGCAAGCTAAGCATTGAAAACATACTATCAGCCGAGCATGTGTTGCACTCTTTGATCCCAGCACTCCTGGTGCTGAGGCAGGTGGATCTCTGTGAGTTTGAGGTCAGCCTGGTCTACAGAGTTTCAGAACAGCCAGGGCTGTTACACAGAGAAACCCTATCTCAAAAAACAAAGACAAATACAAACAAAAGAAACCACTATCTCGAGTGTATGCCTGGAGCAGGTGTTGCCCTCCAACTCCCTACATATTTGGAGCTTCAAAACTTCTGTTTCCCCCTCCCAAGTGCTAGGATTCCAAACATGCACCACCCACCCGTGGCTTGGGTTTCTCTGAACCTGGTGTAGGGTAACCCAGGCTGCCCTTGACCTCCTGAATCTCTTGCCTCTAATCACATGCGGAGACTAAACTACCACACCCACTTTTGTCTCGGGTGAGTTTGATGTTTCTGTGCACCATGGTTTATCTGGGAAACGGATTGCATCACACCCTCTGGAATTCCTTCTTCAGAACTCTACTGCCCAAGACATGCTGACAAAATAAGGACAGAGAACGTGGGCTGGTCGAAAGCTCAGAGAATATTCATCTCACACAGCCTGGACTTACTTGGCTTTTATATTCCCTACTTCATATCCATTACAGAGCACTGGGCACCTCTCTATGTGCCTGCTAATGTTCATATAAAAACAACTGCTGCCTAAAGATGTGTTGAGGACTGGTACTGTACTTTCTAAGCTCTCAACACCAGCTACTATTGCATTTTTTTTTCTTGGTTTTTCGAGACAGGGTTTCTCTGTGAAACAGTCCTGGCTGTCCTGGAACTTACTCTGTAGCCTAGGCAGGCCTTGAACTCACAGAGATCCACCTGCCTCTGCCTCCCAAGTGCTGGGATTACAGTCATGCGCCACCACCACCCGGCTTACTATTGCATTTTTGAGACAGGGTCTTGAGACAGGAGTAGCTCCCACCTCCCCATTCCTCAAATTACAGGCATGTGCTGCCAAGCAGTGCTTGGTTTGTTTTTCAGTTGGCTGTTGGTTTTGAGACAGCATCAGAACTCACTGTGTATCTGCAGATGACCTTGAATCCCTGACCTTCCTGATTAGAGGCTTGGGGCACCACCACACTAGCTCACATGGGACTTAAGACAGAACCCAGGGCTTTCTGCATGCTAGGCAAGCACTCTACCTACTCTCTGGGCCACATCCCCAGCCCTTTAGGGACATTATTATTTTGACAGGCCTGGATCTCACTAAGCGGCTCACTTAGTGAGGCCTGGAACTCATGGCATTTTTAAATTTTTTTTTTATTTTCTCGGTTTTTCAAGACAAAGTTTCTCTGTAGCTTTGGAGCCTGTCCTGGAACTCACTCTCTTGCCCAGGCTGGCCTTGAACTCACCGAGATCCGCTTGCCTCTGCCTCCCGATGGATTCTGGGACTACAAACAGGAGCCACCATCAGGTTATTTTATTCTGTTTTTCAGGCCCAAGCAAAACTTTTATTTCTCTGAAGACGCTCAATCCAAACAATTGGGTACCCTATGTCTCCCAACACACACTTAAGATGCAACTAAGCATGCGGGCCAAGGCCTACGCCAAAGTCTAAGTAATAATATTTCTGGCCAGGAAGCAGAGTTAACAGTATTCATCACTGATATCTGGTAAGCAGTACAGGTCAGAAACTTAATGCTTTCTTTTCAGACAAACCCCAGACTTGGGGGCTGGGCTAACATATGGCCGTTTCACGGACAGAATGAAACACACGTGGGCTAAGAAACCACGCTAAGCTCACAGGAGCAGCAGTAGACACGAGGGGGTAGCCTCGAGCTGTTGCTGTGTATGGCTCCACCCATTGTGTTTGTCTCCGCATTGAACCGATGAGGTGAGGAGGCGGCGCAATACTGCTCACCATGCACAACTCACAGAAATGGCTCGGAAATTAGACTCGCCATAATCAGAGCGGCAAAATAGCAGCTACTCTAACTGAAACAGGGAGGTGCCTCCTGCCCCGGGTTCCAGGGGTCACCGCAGCCGAATTCGCCTGGTGCACAGGAAGCCGCTCGCCCCACCCGGGCCATCCACCGGGGGTGCAGGAGACCGTCCAGCGGAGTCGCTGCAGCGATGGCGACAGCCACAGGTGCAGGCTATTTCCAGAGGGGCAGCCTGTTCTGGTTCACAGTCATCACCGTCTCCTTCAGCTACTACACGGTAATGCGGGCATGCACAGACACGGGCCGCGCAGGCGCACTGCCTGCCAGAGCGCAGCCTGGGAAACCGGCTCGCCAGGCTCGCCCGGTGTGGACCAGGGTGGGAAGCGGTTCTTGCCCTACAACTCAGTGTTTAGGGCTCTCACGATGGTGGTGGCGAAGTCCGAGGCCCGTCGGGACACCACTGTATACTTCCGTACAGCCAGACCCTGGCCCTCGCTGGTCACTGCCCTGGGGCTAGGATACTTTACGGTGAGGACTTGGGACTGGAGGGCAGCTCTGACCCCCAAGACCCGGGAGGGCAAAGTGCGCGCGCGAGGCGGGGGGGGGGGGGGGGGGGGGGGGGGGGGGGGGGGGGGGGGGTACTTCTGCGCACGCGCACAGCGGTTGCCTAGGTTCCTGGTGTACGCGGAAGTTCGGTGGGCTCTAGGGGATTTTCTAGTTGTTGGTGTTCCGGTCCCGGAGTCCTCTTTCTCCTTGGTCATTGAGGTTTAACCGAGTTTTATCGTTTTGGGAAGGGTGACGTTAGTATATTACCATAGATCTAACAACTCAGGATAAGATTCGAAGCAGAGTGTTTGAATGAGTTTGAATTGCTTGGAAAATGAGGATAAACCTAATAGATAGGTAGGGTTTAATTGGTAAAAAGGAAGGGCATACATAGATGTGGAAGAAGACAACTGCACACAGAAGAAGAGTAAGAAAGATTTTGTTTAAAGAATAACGAGAAAGATGATGGCAAATAACATTGGACTCAATTGGTATGATTATGAAGAAATGCTGTTTAAATATCCCAGGAGACCTTAGGATTGTCATGTCCACATTGTCGTTGGGGTCAAGTGTGATCACCTCTGTCCCAATTTCATGCAGAGGCATGAGATGAAAATTTTCAAGGATACATTTTTTTGTTGTTGTTGTTCTAAGGTCCCCTGTCTCTGTTAAGTTAGCATATAGAGGGCAGTTAGCTTTTGCTAGTTCAAACAGATATTGTGGTGGTGGCAGACACAACCCTTTTGTTCTCCTGGTTTGGAAAAATGGCAGTTTTAATATAAGCTTCATTTGAACTTTGTGAAATAACACCAAGGGAGAGGTAGTGGTGTCCTTGACAAAATGTACAGGACTATAAAATTTGCAAGTGTTGGTGTGTAATAATTCTCAAGAAGATTCTCTCTCTCTCTCTCTCTCTCTCTCTCTCTGGTTTTCTGGTGAAAGAAGCAGTTCTAAATTAAATGGGAGATTGTCTCCAGCTGTAACTTCTGCAGCCTAGAATAAGGCATGCAAATTCTTTTAAAAAATAGATAATAAGCTCTATAAAGTAACATTTTACTGACACCCATTAAGAATAACTCTGGACACTGATTCTGATAAGCATATTTCTTCTGCATAAATCTCACAGTTCAGTTGTTTTTCGGGAATAAACGTTGGGGCTGGAGGATGGGAGGATTTGTTCAGTTTCTTTGGGCTGTAGTTGTCTCTGCAGAATCATTATTGTTCCACAGCCGATTTCAAATATAACCATTTACTTGACATATTCTGTGCCTCTGATTCTCTTTCAGTGGGTCGTCTTCTGGCCTCAGAGTGTCCCTTATCAGAGCCTTGGGCCCCTGGGTCCCTTTACAAAGTACTTGGTGGACCACCATCACACCCTCCTAAGAAATGGGTAAGGAATGGAAGGTTATGGGCATTGTGGCTCCAGGCTCTCTGGGTACCTGAATGCCTGTGGTTAGCTTAGGTAGCTAACAGAGATACTAGTTTGCATTGGGATGTCTTTCTTTTTAAAGCTTCTGTGTTAAGAGTTAATTAGCAATTGACTATAACCTTAAACTAAAAACAAAACCCAAAAAACAAAAAACCTTTTATGTTTGTTTGTTTCAGATATTGGCTTGCATGGCTAATTCATGTGGGAGAGTCCTTATATGCCATGGTATTATGCAAGTAAGTCTTTGTAACAGGAATTTATCACTTTTATCTTGGTGTCTGATGTAAGTCACAAGTAGCTATGTCTAAATAATTTATACACTTGTAGGCTGAGAGCTTGCGCAAGTGCAGCCTGAATCCCTATACTGAATTCTGAGCCTGGGACAGAAGTATTCAGTAAATGTTTCATGAATAAATGCAGTTTGCATGTGTGGCTTTAGTTTAACTGAGATACTTTTGCTGTGTTTCAAAAATTGTGTCTAACCAACTAAAACAAATGACTAGGAGTCTCTCTTCTAGTTTGCAAAAGAACTGAGTTATTGGTCTAGGCTGGTGATTTTTGATCCAGTTTCAAAATAGAATCACTTGAGGAGCTGTCTGGAAATATGCATGCCTGGTTTCCAGATCCAGAGATTGTGATCTGATAGGCCTTACTTCAGAAACAGGTGTATGTTCCTTCCTAAAGCTCCTCACATAATTCTGTGGTTCAGTGTAAGTTAAAAGCCCCCAAACCAGATCCTCATACGTTGCACCTCAGAATTCTAAATAGAACTAAAACTAGAATACTATAACCCCCCTCACCCCGTACCAACATTAAAATTCTGTTGTTTGAATTTGCTCTTTTTCAGGCATAAAGGGATCACAGATGGCCAGGCCCGGCTCCTCTGGTTCCTCCAGACTTTCCTCTTTGGCATAGCTTCTCTTTCCATCCTGATTGCTTACAGACCAAAGCGCTCAAAACACACTTAAAGGAGATAATGAAATTTCCTCTCCACTTCTTCGAGCCCTCCTTTCCATGGGTCCTGGTTTCCGTGATGACCTCTCTGTCTTTTAGGCAGTGTCTGTCTTAGAAACCCTGTCTAAACCTGTCCAAGTTACACTTACCTGGGGTGCTCTGACCAACCCTGGATAGACCAGTTGTAGTTTAAGAAAGATTCTACCCAGGGCTGGAGAGATGGCTCAGAGGTTAAGAGCACTGACTGCTCTTCCAGAGGTCCTGAGTTCAATTCCCAGCAACCACATGGTGGCTCACAACCATCT